GTGTGTGTGTGTGTGTGTGTGTGTGTGTGTGTGTGTGTGTTTGTGTGTGGGGGAGACAATTACATATTTTTGACATGTCAGTACCCAGCACATGTACCCAGCATAAAACAACGTTGTACAATCCAGATCTAGTAATATACAGTCTGACATGCTCCAAAAAAACAGTTAATTTAATAACAAACTGACAAACTGGTGAATTCTGTGTTACAAAGTAACTTCCAGCAGAAAAAGGTTTAGCATAAGCATCCCTCTGCTGTAATCAGCCAAGAAAACTAAGAAAAACCACAAGCACCAAATATGGGAAAGAAAACCAATCCACAGCATAGACGAATGTTAAGGCTTTGTTTGGAACTTCCTCAAGGCAAGAAAGCCAGTTAAGGTAAGAAGCCAATGTTGTTTTGTTTTTAACTAGGTCTGTATCATGCACCTAAACCCTTAATGAAGATATCAGACGATAAATACACAGAAAATACAGCTCTGCATAGAAATCTGCCCAGTAAGTATGGGCCCCAGGATCCTCCAGGCACAGTCAGACATCAATTGCTCAGACAATCCTGACCTTTTCCAGACATAGCATGGGGACTCAAGATTTATAGCATTATGGCTAGAGTTTGTTTCCTCTTAGAAGCAGTCTGATGTTTGTTTTTCATTGCTCAGGCTGAACTTACAATGAACCATGTAAGAGAAATAAAAAAAATTATCAGTTCTAAACTCAAGACACCAATATAACTGAATATTGCTGAGTCAGTGATACAGTAAATTTTACAGTGCCTTGTCCAGGAAAACAGGCACATGTACTAATGAATCTTTATGGAAATAGAACACTGGGAGAAAGCATAAAGTTAATGGCAGCAATAGCTCAGTCAATGAACCTTTCCAGTAAAGAGTACAGTCAAATACTTTTATTTCTTTATCACTTACATTTTTCAGTGTCTCTATGGCCACTGTGTCAATGAAGTTAGCTGTGGATAGGTCAAGGATAATGGAATGAATGTCCCAGGTCCACTTGCCCAGAGAACCAAGAGACACTTGTTCTAGATCCCGGCTCAGAGTGTCCTCACTGCTAGAGCCCAGAGTGATGGTGTCCCCATCCTGCAGCTCTGACATCCAACTGGTGCTGTCCAGATCTCCTCCTTTAAGATACTCCATCCTGGAGCGACACTCAGGCGTCCGAGGAGTGGTTGGGATCACAAATACAGTTACGTTCTCCTTCTCGGTCCAGCTCTGTTCTTCCTTCTCTGCAGCTGTCATGTCTATACATGTGTCAGACCAGCTATCAGCCTCCTCCACTGAGATCTCTGGAGGTTTAGGTTGATCTTTAGCTGCTTTTTGTGCCTTTTTCTGAACAATCAGAGGAAGAGGAAGAAGGTCCTTTTAATTTTGAGCTGCCATCTACCTCAAAAAAGAATTCAAATAATAAAACTAAAAGAAATAATCCATGTTTATGCTGAACATTCCTCACCTCTCCTTTAGCCTTTCTCTTAGCTCGCCTTTCTGCTCTCATTTCCTTTCTCCTTTGTTTGGCCTCCTGCCTTCTCTTATAGATGATCATTTTACTGATGTCAAGTCCACTCTAGAAACATATGGAAATCAAATCAAGATTTCAGTTAGACAAGAAGATTAAGAAAATATTGCTCTATTAAAGTTAGAAAACTTAAAAGAGCACAAAACTATATAAAAAACTATTTAGCTAAGTAAACATCTAATTTCTTTACTTCTTCTAAACTTAATTTCACACCAGTAATAGTGTTTATTTCGCATATTCATTCAAAATGGAAATTATCATTATTTTTCTAATAAGTAATTTTAGGAAAAAAAATCATATTCACATTTTAAAACTAATATTCAGAATATTAAAAAAGGAATTAAGGAAAATGTATGTTTTCCACAACGTGAAACTTAATAAGAAGTTCATAAGTCAAATTTGTGAATATATAGAGCAAATCTGTATAGTCTGAACTATGAATGAATGAATGGATGAATGAATGAGTGATAAAGTACTTCCTTGACATAGTCAGAAAACACAGTAAAAGATAAGATAAGATAACCATAAAGGTCCAAAGACACAAAAACCATATAAAAAAGGAAGCTATTAAGTCATAAAAATTGAGTGTATAAAACTGCACACAAGAAGTCTAAGAGCAACCAAAGCCAGTATGCATTTTCTAATCATATACCAAACTAAACAAATTGTTTTATAACTTTAAATAATAGTATCATGAGCAGAAAAGTCCAGAACCTCTTAACATGTCAAATGAAACAAAAAAAAAAACAGTTGTTAGTGTCAGGCTTTCTGGAAGTGGAAGAATTTCTTGTGACTCAAGCTGGTGTTTTACAAGTACACGAGAACCTAAGCTGCTCTGGGCTTGGTGTCCTTATTGCAGTGTTATAACTACCTCATCTGACAGAGGGGCGGAAAACTCAACATTAAAAGTGTTGTTTTTGTGCCCCTTGACCTGAAAGACACGTTTGCAGATTTGCAGAAAGAGACACCACTGTAACCTATTCCTGTTTTTGACTCAATCATTGTATCAACTGTATTGTATCAATATGAAGGGGACCAGCCCTTCATCGGGTGCCACATGTGTTTTGTGGATCTAGAGAAGTCTTTTGACCGTGTCCCTTGTAGTGCCCTATGTTATGGGGTGTCTGCTCTCTGTATGACCGCAGGAGGAGCTTGGTTCTCATTGCCGACAGTAAGTCAGACCTGTTCCCGGTGCATGTTGCTCTCTGCCAGGGCTGCCCTTTGTCATCGGTTCTGTTCATTACATTTATGGAAAGAATTTCTAGACGCAGCCAGGGACCAGAGGGTGTCTGGTTTGGGGAACTCAGGATATCATCTCTGCTGTTTGCAGATGATGTTGCCCTGTTGGCCTCATCAAACCACGAGTTTCGGCGTGCACAGGGGCGGTTTGCAGGTGAGTGTTGGGCGGCCAGTATGAAGATCAGCACCTCCAAAACCGAGGCTAGGGTTCTCCACCTGAGAAAGGGGGACTCCCCTCTTCAGGTCGGTGGAGAGTCATGGTCTCAAGTGGAGGAGTTCAAGTATCTCGTTGACTTGATCATGGGTGAGGAACGGATGGAGTGTGAGATTGATAGACGGATTGGTGCAGCTTCGGCAGTGATGCAGCCGCTGTATCGGACTGTCATGGTGAAGAGGGAGCTGAGTCATGGGGCAAAGCTCTCAATTTACAGATTGATCTACGTTCCCACCCTCACCTATGGCCATGAGATCTGGGTGATGACTGAAAGGACAAGATTACCAATACAAGTGGCAGAAATGATTTTCCTTTGCAGGGTGGCTGGGCGTACCGTTCAAGATTGGGTGAGGAGCTCAGTTACCCGGGAGGAGCTCGGAGTAGAGTCGTTGCTCCTCCACATCAAAAGGATGCCAGTGAGGTGGCTCGGGCATCTGTTTCAGATGCCTCCTGGTCGCCTCCCTCGGGAGGTGTTTCAGGTGTTTCCTATTGCGAGGAGGTCACGTTAAAGGCCCAGGGACTATGTCTCTGAGCTGGCCTGGTGTCGCCTCAGGGTCCCCCGAGAGCAGCTGGAAGAAGTGTTTGCGGATTGGGAAGTCTGGGCATCTCTGCTCAGAAGGCTGCCTAATATATATATATATACTATAAAGATTTAGTGAAAACAGGCAAAACCTTTCAACAACCTTATCTATACTACCACAGCTGTTTTTTGTGTTGTTTTCATACAATCTAAAAAAGCCCCAGAAAACATATGAGATAGAAAAAACAAGGCTTGAATAGGATATTATCAACACCTTTAGAATAAAAATAGAGAAGTTAATTTGTCTATATTAGTCAAAATATTATGATATTAGTTGAAAAATAAAAAGAGATTAAAAAATAGGAACAACTCATCAATAATAAAAGAATAATATACTGCAATATTTTTTGTGGGTATGTTGCTTAGGAGTTTTATTATTTAAAAAATAAACAAAAAGCAGGTGCTCTAAAATAAACATACAAGGAGAACCAACCTTCTTTTTTAGAGCCTCCAGGTAGAGTTCGGCATTGGCAAAATAAACTGTGGCAGATGAGCGGAAGATAGTAACACCTGGGACCTTTTTAGCCTGTCACATATAGAAAGGATGTTGGCTTGTTTTTTAAGCAGGAAAAAACAAATCTAGTTTTAGTTCTTTGTTTTTCAGTCTCACCTCTCTGTGTGTCTCCACGTCCACATAGAGTTCTGTACCAGGAACATTTCCAAGAACAGAGTATGTTGGCCTGAATATCAGAAGTTAAAACATTAGTTGTGTGTTGATTTTTTTTTTTATAGAATAGAAAATCCTAAATAGTGAACACAACAGTAAAGAGTTAAAAAAAACTGAACTGTAATATCTGGTAAGGTGGAGAAAAAATCTTACATCTGAGTCCTAAAAATAACAGTGAACAGAGCAAAGACAATGGATGCAGCCAGACCCAGGTCCAGATTCAGCAGCATTGTTGACACCCAGGTGACTAACCAAACCAACTGGGGGAAGCAGAAATAGGAAGATCCGTCATGATGGCACTCAATTATAAAAAAAAAAATAAAAAAAAATCCCTTTCTGAGTCATTAGTATCTCACCAGGTCGACTTTGTTTCTCCTCCACAGTGTAACAACATCAAGGTACTGTTTGAACATGCCCTTCAAATTCACAAGCACAATTGATGCGAGGACGGCCTAAAACAACACAGTTAATTAGACTTTACAAACACTGCTGTCCTGGATATAAACTGGTAATCGTATTTGAGTATATAAATATAAAAGGAAACCAACCTTTGGCAGCTCCTGGAATAGCACCCCAAGTTTCAGTATAGTCACCAGAACAATCAGAGCTGAGGCCACTCCAGCCATCTGCGAACATGTTACATGGCTTAGTTGTACGAAAAAAATTCAATGAATAGGATTATGGCTTGATTTGAAGCAATAATTTCTCTTTTTTTTTCTATGTTAAATGTGACAGTACTTGTTCTATGAGTGTGAAGAGGGAAAGTCCAATCTGCACAGTTTAGTTCGTTGTGCAGGTTGGACTCACTTGATTCATGGGCTGGCCAGAACAAATGCATGGCATGGTGATGACTTGGCGACTCCACAATTCCATTAAATAGGTCAAATGCAAGATGTTAAGTGAAGATGACAAAGCCACCAAACGTTCTTCGGGAAATACTTTTGAAGAATGCCAAGGCTTCCCGAGTTTTGTTTAGATTTTTTTTCTGATCCTCTTTTCTTACTCTATTTCATGTTTGCAGGTCGCTGCTGTTTGGCTAAGGAACCCGGAAGTAAACACATGCTACACCCTGTATCGAAATAACTCTAGGTTTGAAAGATGAAAATCCTAAATCAGGCATTGATGATGGAGAGTTTCCACCAGTGCAAATAAGAACGATTTAATTTCACAGCAAATTTCTTGCTTATCGCTCCTTTAAGTTCTAATCAGGTTAAATCCGTTTTATGGCAATAGACTAAATAAGATTCAGATCAATCTATAGTTTCTTTGATTCAAAAGGTGTGTCAGTACATGGGTAATCCACTCCTTTACCATTTCAGATATAATCACTTATATTCTGCACATCTTGTCGTGGATCCTGATTTTTAACTTTATGTAGCTGTTTGTATTTTTTCTGTTCTGGTTTAATTCAGTTTTCTCTATTGTTTTACTGAAGCAGTGTTCGGGTTTAGAGGCAGGAGATTAAAAATCTGAAATCGAATAACCATGATGGCTGCTTTAAGTTAAACCCAAACTACAATTTATATGGTTCAAGCTCGCATCCACACCTCCTCTTCATTATATTTGTGTTGTTTAGGATTGTTCTTTCACTTCAATCATGTTTATAAAACACTTTTAAGGAGCCAACAAGTTTTTAGAAATTTCATCCCAAATCTAAGAAGTATATAAACTAAACTACGTAATGAATAAATCAGTTTTATTAGATAATTTCCCCAAGCTTTAGAATTCTTTGTTAAATGTGTGATTTATTTTTATAAAAAACACCTAAAATACATTCAAAAAGCTAGCTTTATCTGTTTGTATCTAAATACACATATTTGGTTGTTGCTGATGTTGTTTTTATTTCAAGAGTTGCGGAATGATTTAATATGTGAGATGCAGCTAGCAGATTATTTTTCAATCCAGCTGTTTTTCTACTTACTTGAGTTTTGCCGCCAGTGGTTTCCTGAACAAGACTCCGAGACATGGAGGAGCAAACAGAGAAGCACTGGAAGAAGCCGCCCACTGCATTGCTGAGACCCAGGGCCACCAGTTCCTGCACCATGGCAGAGAAGGATGAATGAATGAATGAATGAATGAATGAATGAATGAATGAATGAATGAATGAATGAATGAATGCTGAAAATATTATTAAAAAAAAGCTTCAGGAATTTTATGCAAGAATAGACATTACCTGGTTACTGTCCACCTTGTATCCATGTTTCAGTGCAAACGTCTTTCCTAGTGAAATAGATACAGCATATCCAACGATAGCCAGAGCAAAAGAGTCACCGATAACTTCTCCAAAAAGACTGAGATGAGGCACAGTGGGAGCACTTAAACTGGTGATCAAAGATAAACAAAATAAATGGAACTAGTACAGAAAAAAAAACAACCTCAACAGAAAGAATAGCAGCAAAATACTGACCCACTGGGGATCTCTCCAACTACCGAAACACTGTAGTTGTTGTTTAGATATGTAGTGGAAGATATTAGAGTCGCTGCAACAATCTAAAGGGGTTATATGACATGAATTAAAAACATACCGGTAAGCATAATTTACACAATTTTTCCATTGCAAAGCATTGGTCCTTAACATAGAGTCAGTCATGTACCAGGTGTGGACCTAATTATTAGCCATAAATCACAAATTCCTGCAGTGAAGCACATTAAGCATTGCTGAATCAGCTGCTTGTTTCCACTGCATCTATACTTTTTGTTTAGTGCTGCATCATCAGCAGCACCGGAACACAGTGTATAAACACACACACATTCAAATGTTGTGTCACACTATCCTTGTGGGGACATTCCATTGACTTCCATTCCTTTTATTTACATAACCGTGACCCTTGCCTTAACCCTAACCAATATCAACACATACCTAACCCTAAACTTAACCTAAACTCAATTCGTACGCTAGTTCTAACTTTACCCTCACGCCAAGAACAGAACTTCCTCTCAGGGGGACCAGTTGTTGGTCCCCACAAGTACCTATAAGTCCCCAAAATGTAGCATATTCCTGGGAAATTGTCACAAACAGGTAACAAAGACATGCAACTCACACACACACACACACACACACACACACACACACACACACACACACACACACACAGACATAACACGGCATGAGGCTAAAGATTGACTTTATGTCCACTGACTGTGATTAGTTCCACTGGAATGGGCACCGGAAGCCTCGTACTGAGGAACGAGTTCAGCTCCTTCGCTGAAATCAGAAGCACCATCGTCACAGAGCTAACCAGCAGAGTGGGAAGATGAGTTTGAGGCAGGCAGAGGAAAATGTCCTGCAGTGTCTGAAAGTCCCAAAAACACAAAGAGGAAGAAAGGTTGGTAACTAATACAGTAGAGTATCACCTTGGGCTGTTTCATTATTCATTATTATTCACGTTCTGTGATTGAAATAAAAAAAATACAAAAAACAAATTTCAAATGTCCTGCAGCACTCTCTTCTCTTCAGCACTTTTCTTATTATTATAGATTAAAAAAACACCCCACTTTTATCAGAAAATAGGCCAATTTAAATTCAAGTTTAAGAAAAAAAACATTTTAAAATGTAATGTGTTTTCAAACACTCATAGCCCATCTGTGTGATGTTCCATTCAGGTTTTAAATAATGCCTCAGCTCTGAGACTTCTAGCCTGGCAAATTTTTTAACAACATCCTTATAAAAGCAGACTTGGCATATACTTCTGTTTTAGTGCTTTGAGACTTCTGAGCAGCCTTTGATACCATAAATCATACTATTATGATACTGCAACTGGAACATGTACAGTAGGTCTCAAAGGTACATGTACATCCTGCTTTAAATTGCAACCATGCAAGCAGGAATACTTCAGTGTTCATTTAGGGAGGGTTATTCCTATTCTGCATATTGATTCTTCTGCTTTTTGTCTTGAGTATGTTCCTTTTTGGCTCTTTATCTTTAAGAGGCACAATGTTAATTTCTATTATTACACAGCAACGTTCTAGCCAACCTGCAAGGTTTTTTTTAACTACTCTAGGTGAAATCACGTGCAATAATATGGGAGCTAACTTAGATAAACAGGTTAGTGCTGCAGTGTTTTTAAACTATCAGACACCCCACAACTTGTCAAAACTGACCATAAAAAGCAAATCATGAGCTGGTATCCCCAACTGTATGTTTTTACCAATGTGCTTTGTTATATTTTTACACCTTCTTTATTACTTTTCTTTTTTTTTTTTATCTTGTTCTGTGTTTTTTCTTCAGTTTAACTACTAAGCATCATTCAGTATTTTATGGAGGCTTCATCAATAATTTTGACATCCAACACATATACATATTTTGTAACCGAATGAAAACAACATTGCCCTGATTTGTTTTTCTACTAAATCTGCATTCAAACGTTGAAAAGTGAAAGAGCCGGAAAGGACTTTTGAGGCATCACAAGGAGATCTTTTGAGATTAGAAACAAAGTCTGACTTGACAGGACTGTTTTCTGAATGACTGGAACAAACAGAGCAATTAAGCCAGAGTGAGTGGATGATACTCACATAAACCTGGGACAGAGGGCCACTAAACCGTCTCGGTGAAACTCCAAATAAGTACTTGAGCTGCGCCACTACAGCGTGTGCAGCAGCAGCTGATGTGTAAGCTCTCACCAGAGGCTTAGATAGATATGTTCCCACAAATCCAAACTTTATAACACCTAAAAGCACCTACAGGAACACAGTCATTTATGTGGTTAGGTAGCTTCAAAGCAGAATTGGAGACTTTTCTCATATTATCTGGGCTGTTTTACAAACCTGAATAAGTCCTCCAAGAAAGGTAGTAGCGGCTGCCACCTGCACCCTGTAGGAGTCCCTGGCCGCTATGTCTACCTCTGAAGTTAAGTTGGTCCCATTTTTAGACATAAAAATCTCATCTGGAGCAACTCTCTCTATCACGCTGCCCACCATGATGCTGAGGACAGTGAATGTACCTGAAAAAATACATTTAAATTCAAATTATGAGCTAAACAGGTTTATTTGATATATATATATATATATATATATATATATATATATATATATATATATATATATATATATATATATATACAAATCCAAATCCCTTAATAAATAAAAAACAAAATAAGATTCAGAAGACAAAGATTAAGCTTTTAGATGGAAGTTTAGAGCTACAACTTGGATCCTCAACATATGGATTATAAATCAATCATATCTTGTGCAATGTGTTGTTTAATAAATCTATTTTAGCTAAACTTTAAGTAGGAATTTCACAAATTCATCAAAAAGGCTGAAAAGTTTTCCCAAAGTATTGTACTTACCAATGGAAATATGTCGAGATGTTCCAAAAAGTAAGTAAATTAAAGCTGGATAGAGAGATGTGTAGAGCCCAAATACAGGCGGTACAGAAGCAAGTAGTGCATATGCCATACCTGTGCAGGGAACATGCTTTGTTAGTTCTATCCAAAACAACCTGATGAATAAATGTTCATATAGTTGTGTCTAGCTGTGTCGTTCATTCTAGCTAAGATCATTTCACTCATTCTGGATGATTCTCATACCTTGAGGCAGGTGCATTATCCCCACGCTGATGCCTGAGACCAGGTCGGGCATCCCATAGTCCCATACTGAGTACTTTGGCAGCCAGTACAGCACAGGAACGCTGCTCAATACACTTCTCTTAAGTTTCGGAAGCGTGCATCTATGAAAGAGGAAATTTACCTTTTCAAAAAAACATTAACTGCAATTAATTTAAAATAGAGACTTTAACACAAGCTGTTTACCTCAATGACTTTTTCAAATACCCAGTTAGAGGTTTGTTGATCTCTGAGAGTGTTTTTCTCTTTGTTAGCTCTTCCAGTTTCTGCTCATCCAAGACTTCCCTCTCCACTCTGTATGTCTCAGATCCTGGTCTATAATCCATTTGAGTGTCAGATGCACAACCGAGATTTAACAAAATATGCCGAAGGCTGCAAGCTCTTAGCAAAGCTTGATAGAACCCTGGATATGCTGAAAGCACAGCTGTATCTGCTTTTATACTGTATGCAGCACTGTGTAATGGTTAACTGCAGACAGGATGTTATGGGCAGAGTTATTGAAAATAATGAATGATCAGAACAGGTAGAGGATGTCCTAAACAAAAAAAAAAACATCATCTCTTTTGAGTTTAGATGACTTTGTTTTTCCATTCTGGGTATTTTTCCACTCAACAACAAAAATGAAGGCAATGAAACATACCCTACATTAAGCAACCCTTATTGAATAATTAACCTTAAAGAATTTCCTATCCAAAAGTGGGTTCTCCCTGCTACGTCATAAACATGGATCTAAAGACATTTGTTATAGTGATGAGGTTTAAACTTTATTGTTCAAACTTTAAATAAGCAGCATAAAGAAATATGATATACTGAGTTCATGAGAAACTGCTGTCATGAAACCTAAATCTGAGCCGAGAGCAAAGGTTTCTTTGGTGTCTGAGCTGCCTGCAGATGGCAAAGGTGAAGAAACTGGAAGGAGAGTTAGACCAAACAAAGAATGATACAGGGTTAATGAAAGCAATGAATATTCAAACACATTTTATCAAAATTGTTATCTTGACTGTTTCAGAATATGAACTTTTCTATGTAATTCAAACCCCTTTGACCCACTTACTGGCAGCAACAACGTTGTCTATTTTTGGGGCGACAGCTCAGAGGGCAGCAGCCCCGTGGGGGGGGTTAAATACCTACCCATTGAGTTTGCTCAGATTTCTCTGAGCCCTCTGACTTGTGCATTTGGTAACATCAACAACATGTGTGGCCTGAAAAAAACGGACATCTCCTGGCTTTCGTAGACCAAAAGGAAAACGGTGAGTTATGGAAGGCAGAGAACTTTGGTAAGAATTGGTATATCTGAACAAGTTGGACCACAATGTTCTCGTTCTCGTTAACTTATTTCACAATGTACAAAGTTTAGCTGGACGGAATTATTAAAATAAAGAATCTTGATTGTCGTTTCAACTGTTTTAGTATTTTTTGGTGTATATATATATATATATATATATATATATATATATATATATATATATATATATATATATATATATATATATATATATATAGATAGATAGATAGATATATATTTGTCAGAATTTATTATAACTTTGTGTTACGAAAACAGATTTGATCTTGACAAGGCAGTGAAAACCTGTTTTCTCTAAGCTATCTCCTGATTGAGCAATGATACAACTAGTGTATTAAAGTTAGCAGGGCAAGTTTATGTATATAGGACATTTCATTAGCAAGTGGATATAAAGCACTGTATGAACGTAACATAAGAAAACACAGAGGAATGGAAAGTTAATGTTCCAGAATAGCAATCCAATCACAGACATGCAGATTCTCTTTTTCACTATTTAGCAAAGAAATGTATTCTTTTTTTCTAATGTATATATTTTTTTACCTTTGCAGACTAGGAAACATTGTCCAAGGCTTTTCAAGCAAAACACAGATTAGTGATATACGTATTTCTATGAAACTTGTATAGTATTGCAAGATGACTATCTTTTTTTTTAAAATCAAAATGGTGTGAAAATATTACTTATTTGTGCAACTGGGTAATTACTTGATTTGCAAGCAACATTTCACACTGCATGTTTTAAGGGTAGACCAAAATATTGCTCGATTATGTTTTTGGATTTGTATTTAGGATTTTCTTTACCAAAGTCTGTTGTAAATTCCTGTTACATTAGAGGCACATGCAGCAAAGTGCACCAATAAACCACCTGTAAACAGATTAGATTAGAGAACAAACACAGTGGTTTGGCATCCCTCACTCTTTTAAAAATAATAACTTTTTTTTTCTTACAAGGTTTCTATTTGGTGAATGTTGCTCAAAATGTCAGTGTGACATTTTACCACTTGAAAACAAGTTGAATTTCTTTTAAATCTCTTTCCACGTCTTTAACAGGCAGAGAGCACCATACACATAGAAGATAGGGAAAAGGTGCAAAGGTTTTGGTGTACATTAAGCACATTTATGATTCTTGTGAAGATTCATATGAGGGAATTAATCTTTGCTGTTTTTTGTTTTTGGCTTTCAGGAACAACCTTATCACTGGTTCTTGTTGTATAAAGCTTTTCTTCAAAATATTCAGCTTACCGATTTAGGAGGAAATGGATCTTACTGCCAAACATGGGCAGGTGCTCCTTGAACAGCTGAGGAAGATGAGAGAGGTTGAGCATCTGACGGATGTAGTGCTGGTTGCTGAGGGCATCAGCTTCCCCTGCCACAGAGTTCTTCTGTCCGCCTTCAGCCCATACTTCCGTGTAATGTTCACATGTGGTTTGCGTGAGTGCAGTAACAGAGAAATATTCCTACGTGACACCCCTGCAGACAGCCTGGCCCTGCTCCTGAACTACATGTACACTTCAGAACTTCCTCTTACTAATGACAATGTGCAAGGTGTATCAATTGCAGCTTTTCTCCTGCAGATGGATGATGTTTTTGCACGTTGTCGGCAGCATATGACAGAGAACATGGACTCTTCCAACTGTCTTGGCGTGTATTACTTTGCCCGTGACCTTGGTGCAGAGGAGCTGGCTGATCATGCTCAGCGCTTCTTGAGACAAAACTTTGTCCAAGTCTGCCGGAGTGAGGAAATTCTGGAGCTGGAGGCCCACCAGCTTGGAAAGCTTCTAAGCTGTGATGATCTCAATGTGACAAGAGAAGAAACCATCTTAGATGTTGTTCTTCACTGGGTCAAACACAACCCTCTGATGGATGGGGAGGTCCGTATTCGACATCTACCAGAGCTCCTGAGAAAGGTCCGTCTCCCGCTGATAAATCCTGACTACTTAAGAGAGGCAATGAAGAGGAACACAGCCCTCTTGGCTGATGCGGAATGTCTGGAAATGATGAATCAAGCTCTGGAGGCGGTGATCATGCATCCTTCAGCTGCACCACGTAAACTCAAGCTGAGGTACGGAATGGAAACTACAGATCTGCTGCTCTGTGTTGGTAATGATGGCGGAGGGATCAGGTCAAGGTACGCCAACTACACGGAGCGCAGCTTTTGTTTTGCACCGGCCACGGGCCGAGCCTACTACATCACCTCCCCTCGCTATGGAGATGCTCTGGGATATGTGTGCGCAGGAGTTGTGACTGAAAGAAACGACATCATTGTAGCAGGAGAGGCAAGTGCACGGAGAATGGCCCGACAGAAAGATGTGAACGTTGAGATCTACAGGTAAAAATAGGCTGACACTTTGTCCAGCAGAACACTTATTTGTAGTGTAATAACTAATTATGATCTGACCTGGTTTGCAGGTATAAAGTGGAAGCCCAGGGTAGCTGGGAACACTTAACATCAGCAGAGTATAGGGACTCCTACGCCCTGGGGTCTATAGGAGACACTCTATACCTCTTGGGGGGACAGATGAAGCTGAAGAACCAGTTTCTCATCACAAATTGTGTGGAGCGTTGGTCTTTGCAGGGAGGACCTTGGCGGAGTGCAGCACCTCTGCCTTTGCCTTTGGCCTATCACTGTGTGGTCACAGTAAAAGACTGCCTTTATGTATTGGGTGGTCGCACCCCACAGGTATTATTAAAATTTTTTTTTGGTCATGCAAAACTGAAAGCATGACTTTGTTGACAGCAAGTAACTGTCTTAAACTGTTCTGCTTTGTCATTCTCTGAACCCAATACAACATTCCAGTCGTATCGCATGGACGATGAGCCGGACCGTCTCAGTAACCGCCTCCTGGAATACAATCCAAACACGAACAAATGGACAGAGCTTGCTCCAATGAAATACTCCAAGTACCGCTGCAGTGCTTTGGTGCTGAATGGGGAAATTTTTGTTATGGGTAGGTAGATTTTTGTCTTACTTAGTCTTACTATTGTTCATATCTTTCTAATATACCTCTTGAAGCTTTTCATAATTTCCCACTCTACAAATGCAAATTCTATTGGAGTTTTATGTGGCAGACACTTGAAACATGTGGCAGGCAACTAACACTTGTTTAAAAAAATTAAAAATGCCAAAGACGGAGACTGCAATGTTATCAATACTTGTTTGAAGAACTTTACCTCCTTTAAAATACAGTTTTACAAGATGGCCGAGTCTTAACAATCATAGACAGGTTTCAGGTATTACAGGAGACAATCCCCCCCTTAACGGTATTTTTTTGGTTTTTTTTTTTTCCCTTAGAATCATAGACAGGTTAAGATATTACAGGCTAACAATGGAACTAAACGACCCATTCATCGGTTACCATTTGCATGTTTCCAAGCGATACAAGGCTTTGTCTATATAAGACTCAAACTCACTGCGGATCCAGACATTTGAATTGAGAAAGCTTCCTGGAGAGGTGGCGAAACGTCTTCAAATCTTCAAAACCAAGTCCAGTGGATATTTTTTGAATTTTTACGGTATGACTATGACCTGGATGACTGAGAACCTTCATCAGCAAAAAGGGAGGTTATTAACACACATGTAGATTAAAGTAATCAGACTACAATAAAAAAGCAAATACACCCAATCACAAAATCAAAATCTGCCCGTATAACAAAATTGTTAATTGTTACTTGGGAACCCTTGCTTTGGGCTGTCTGATTCTCTTTCCATGTGGAGGAGCTTTAGTTTGGCATGAAGTTGGTCCTTAATTTAATAGGTAAAAGCATGGAGTATTGTTTAAAAATCTTCTGCTTTCAAGTTCTCCAAATCCTAAACTTTTAATTGGTCTTTGTGATTTTTTGTTCTTTTTATGTTCTCTAACAAATCTCTGAGGAACTCACAAAACAGATGCTTCCATACAAGGATTAGATGACACATTGGTGAACTCTATCTTCAGTCCTCTGAAGGCAGATGATCAGACTGACATTTATGTTAATATACAAGAATAGAGAAGGCTGAATAAAAAAATGCCAAAATGTCTACTATTTTATAATTTGTATTTCTAAAAAAAATTGTGAAAACTATGTAATTTTCTCCCCATAACACACATAGCACTGTTGCTAACTTATGAAGTCAGATTCTTCTAAACAAGAAAAGATGTGCAAACAACCAGGCGGCATAAACACTTTTGCAAGGCTCTGTGTATTTGATGCACCCTTGTTTATAGTTGGTATCAAAGAATTAAACATGCATTTTATATCTTAATTTCCTAATGTTCTTGTTTGGACTTAGGCCTAATCAGTCATTCATACATAAAAATCCTCCAGGGCTTACAGGATGAGACAGTTTTAAAACTGAAAACTCACCAGAGAACCATGCAAGTCCCTCACATTGCCTATTGAATTACAATAGCAATGATTTGGTTATTGGCACTTACATGTTTTGCAGGAGGGATAGGATGTGAGGGAATGGACCGTGGACAGTCACGTCATTGTCTGAGTGCTGTGGAGATCTACAACCCAGATGGAGATTACTGGAGGGAGGGACCACCTCTCCCATGTCCCCAGCTCTCACTTCGTACTAATGCCTCTAATGCAGGGGTCGTGGGAGGGAAGATTTATGTCTGTGGATATTACAAAGGAGCAGGTACAAGCAGAAAATCTACACTCAAATTTGCAAAGTTGATTCAAGCTGCTATCAGATTTCTCTCCGTGTCTTATTCCATCTCAGATCGTCATGATGACATAACTAAGGACATTTTGGAGCTTGATCCATGGGAAAACCGTTGGACAGTGGTGACCCGGCACGCAGTGATGCATGACAACTACGATGTCTGCTTGGTCGCAAGTCTCAACCCAAGGGGACTAATATCCCCACCCTCTGACTTAATGAATCTGTGATCATCAGCTGTCAGTCAGACCAGTTTGGGTGAGGAAAGTGAAACATTAATGCACTTATTGACCGGTTAATGTCTTCTTATCAGGCAGAAAATGTCTTGCGTTCTTCCTGGAGGTATGTACTTAATGGAGTCAATGCACTTTTGTAGGCAGAAACTTCATTTCTGAATACTGTTGTGTGGGTGTGTTGCACCTGCAGAGATTATTTCCTGAATATTGCCTAGTTTATATTAGACCAGCCTGCTTTTGGAAATATAAAAGTGATTCCATTTGCATGCATCATTAATAATAATGACATTGATTTATTAGTTATCATATAAGACAAACTTGGATTGAAAATTCTCCAGATTAAATGCCCTTACGTCTTTAATGACTAAGAAAAGAAAAGAAATCTTGTAATATTTTAGAAATCAATAATTTTACATTAAAGGTATTGATTTTTTTTTATCTACTGTGCTTGCTGAATTATTTTGGAAGGAAATAAATATGCACTTTATTTGGAGGATGGGTGGTCTGATGTGATTACACAGTCTTATACACACAGTTTTATAACTTCATTATTAGAATCGTGCGAGTATGCATTTTTGTTAGGATTCCTGCAATAGTAAATAGTGAATAAAGTTTGGTAAAATTATTACAGTATTTTCCAAACTTAGACAGACATGGAAAGAGTTTCAACAGAAATCCATACTTTTTTTTGATAAGATGCTTATTGTTAAATACTCTTTCCTACATGTTTTTTTTTTGTAAGTTTACCTCATTTATATAAAAGGGACAGCAAAAAACACTTCTGATTCTGAAACCAAAAAGTAAACAAGGGTCCCTTCTTGTTAAGTAATTACAACATTAGAGCCAGCCCTATTAGCAAATCAAAAGACTTCAACTTCATTCGCTTATTAGTTTATTTTTACTCTCAAACTGGACATATAATGGAACTCTATGGTGCAACAGTGCAAAACTTAACACAATTATAATAATATAAACAATCTTTAGAAAGACAAAACAGCTTAAATAAGCATGCCAAACAGTGCAAGGGTAAGTCTGCACTCTTTTTCCACATTTCTTCTACTAAGAAATATATTCTAAAGCTATCATTTTGTTAAGAAAAACACATCTAACACATCTTCAGGAAAAGTAATCAAAGTTGTTTTATGTGAACAGGTTTGTCTCTTACCTATAAGAACAAGAGTAAAAGTGCTTTTACTTTTTTTTTCTCTAAAAGTCAACATCAGGTTCAAACAACTGCCAGATTTCTCCTTGTTCTACCGGGCTCATCTTTGAATAGCCAGACAATCGCTGCAGGATGGATTCGGTGGCAGCACTCCACTCAGAGATGTTGCTGTCCTGGGACCAGCTGCTCAGCATGTTGACGAAATATCCTGCGCCCGTGTTGGATGTACTTCCCCTCTTCACGGACGTTGAACTACCTGAGCTGAGGTTCTGTTCGATGGCCTGGATGTTCTGATCGCGGGGCTGGAGAAGGGATCCTGATATTTTCTGTTGCTTTTTACCCTGATTCACAGGTTGAGTGTTTTCATCTGGGACTGACTGATTACCTCTCCTGGAGAGCACTAGTGGTCTCTTTTTGCGCTTCTGACTCCTCCGACTGAGTCTTTTCCAACCAATGCTGTAATCCTTAGAGGACGTTTCAGCTTGACAGTTAAGGTTATTAGGTGCTTTTGGAGCCTCTGTAACCTTGGTTTGACTGTTCAGCAGATTATCATGCATGGATGGCTCCAGCACTGGGGATGTTTGAGCGGCACTATCTATGGCCACACTGGGTTTAGCAGATGATTTTGAGACAAGAGTGTTGAGCAGCTCTCCGAGACTCTCCAAACTATTCTTTAAGCTTTTCAGTTGTGCTTCAAGTTGTGCTGTGGCTTCCCCATTCTAAAATAATAGAAAAAAACATATATACTCATTGCTTATCAAACAATGATCTGTTTCTACCTTTGTCAAGAAGTATAGAAATCCATAAACTGCAAACCTTCTGCAGTTTGTCCTCCAGCTCTTTCATTACTCCCATTTGAGAGCTTAATTTGTCAACCACAATCTCAAACATCTGCGAACTGTTCGTCTGAAGGCTCTCAAAACTGTTCTTCACTAAGATGAGAGTAAAACAGACAACGTAACTGAGGTCAGTTAAATTTTTTTATAAATATAATCAGCAACTTTTCATATAAGTAACAAAGCTTTAAACCAACTCAAATGGATTTTTATTTCCTTGAAGGAAGATAAACTTTAGTAACCTTGTTAAATAGTATTAACCAGCAGTTATCTGTGCTTTATCAAGGTCTTCAAATGTTTTATTTATATTTATATATATATATATATATATATATATAGTAAAGCAAACAAATGAAAAAAAAAAATTCAGAATTGTCAAGTAAAAAAATGTATCTAAAATAAGTTGATCAGTTTATGAAAGTCCAGGCAGAGGGTCCGAGAGATGCATCATCCCCCAGTCAATCACACTGTATGCTAGAATTTCAGTAAAAAGTTCTCGGTCAATCAGTTTGTCCTCTAAAACTTTATTTTCTATCTATTATTATTTGTTAAATAATAGGTTCCATCACATTCTTGGCACAATTCAGGTATAAATATAAATGCTCACACTTTTAAATGTGGAAACAAACAAGATGGATGACGTTTCAACAAGGATATCTATTCAGGTAATACAAATACTTGTAATAATCCTAGACTTAAGACATAGCTTAGATGACTTTTTGATGATGAAATTTTGTTTTGTACAGCTTTCCTGACATTTCCATTCCCTGAATTGCAGCAATGATCAAATGTTAACAGTGTGGGAGGAAAAAAAACATGGTAACATTTATTTCCTTTAAAGTGATATCATTTTAAACAAGTTCTCTGTATTTTCAAACATTATTGGATTCCTATGTTTTTCATAGACTAAACTCAATAAATGAGTCTAGTTATGACTATGTGGCGGGGTGTTAGTGACAAAGTGCCTAAATATATCCATTGATAAGTTTTCTTTTATATGCATGGAAAGGTCATGATCAGTCCTTTTGGTTATGAATTTGACTAATGTCTGATTAAATAATAGGTAAGCGATAAGTGGTATTAACAAATATAAACCAACTGATCTGAAAATGACCAGATGCTGCATTAAAAACTAGTGACAAAATAAAACAAAACAAAAAAAAACTTTGGAGGACGTTAGAAAGTATGTAAAATAATGATTAAGACCATCTTTGAATATCATAAGAAAGCTTATCTCCTTTTTAAGAAAATTTCATAGAAATAAGGGTTTTCTTGGGAATTTTGTATTGTATGTATAAACTGTGATAATTGGGCAAACAGCACCACCTACTGGAAAATATGAATGCTTGCACATTGTTTTTTAGCATTCCACTTTTATATTCTATTTTGTATTGAAGCAGTGACAGTGCTGGAGATACAGAACTCAGCCTAAAAAGAAGCAGCCATTTATCAACAGTCACACCGAGCTAAACTGAAAGTCAAATTAAAAAAGATGGGAATGTTTAACATTTAGGAAAGGTTGCTTGGTTGCAGCCATGTGGTCATTTTTCCATCACATAAATCCAGCCCAGAAAGGCCAAAAGAAGTAAGAAAGTGGCAGAAAACTCACGTAATGATGCAAAACTGTCACATTTTTCAAAGATTGTTTGGCACACAGTGGTGTTTTTCTCAACACCAGACAGCAGTTGTTGAATCTGAAAAAGATAAAAGGTGTTAAACAGCTGGAGGATAGAAGCTATGTGATGGACATTGAATGGTGGTCTGTGTGCACTTACGTTAATGAGCGTTTCCCGTACATGTTGGGATTCTTTAGCAAATTGCTCACTGTTAAAAGGAAAAAAAAACAATAAATACATTCTAAAAACTGTTCTCTTATCAAAAATATTTTATTTAACTTTATGGCTTAGAGATTCACCTGTCATTTTTTTCTTTTGCCTTTTTCATGTCCTCTTCATACTTGTAGAGTAAACCTGAGGTTATCATTTTGTCCTTCAAATCCCCCAAAAGAAGAGGCTTAGAGGTATATCTGCTTAGAATATCTGCTGGGTCACATCCCTAAAAAAAAAAAAAAACAAGAGTTCACCCATTATATAACTCAATCTTAAGGCTGCTACTAAACGGAAAGTTTAAGAGAAGTGGGCTGCCATTTGGCTAGCGTTTGACTGGGAAGGGCCATTTTAAATTGCTTTCTTAATTAAGCATCATGTTTTATTAGCTGTATGGGGAAAATGGTTTTAGTAAACAAAAACTAGGGCTTGGAAACATTAATCTGTTTACAATAATCTATATATTTTATATAGACCTATTAAAATGAAATATTTAAAGGAAACTACCAACAACATCTACTAACAAACAGGATTAAAGGAAAAGTCCAATCAGCAAGGAATAATGAATGGATCATAATCTATACCTCAAACTAATATGTTTGTGGTGATTTAATTAATTTAAGCTTTAAACAGTAAAACAATAAAAAAAAAAGTGATTTTTGTCTCGATGACTGAAACCGAGAGCGGCCATTTTTGCCCGCATATAGTAACACCTCACTCTTGACATCTTCCGGCAGTGACATCACGGTGCGGTAAGCCTAGCGCCATTCTCCCTGCTTTACAAGCAAAATCAGTGGGAACTACTAGACACATCTGCAATCAACAATTATTTAAGATTTCGAGAGGACTTCACCATTGAAATTTGCCAAGAGCTATAGTTAAACCGACAATGCCCACGTGCATGGCGGTTGGATGTTGTAATACATCAGGTAAAAGTGAAAAAAAGTTAACAACTGATTGTTATTCCACCTTTCCGAATTTATGATCCTCCACGGACGCGTTTGTCATCAGATTGCCAACTTAAAGAGGGAGGATTTGCCATCGAGCTTCTGGCCAGAGAAAAAAATGCGTAATATGTCGCCAACATTTCGAAGAAGAATGTTTTCAAGATGACTTGGATAATACAACACCAGATACAGCATAGGAACTTGCTCAACAGCCGATACGGCACCGTGACATCACAAACCGGTAATTAGCAGTAGTGTTCTTTTGTCAAACTTGGATGTCTCCAGCAAAACACATTCAAATGAAATTATTCTTAATTAAAAACTCACTATTTATTGAACATTGTGAAATAATTTAATATTTAAAGTTCTCTCAGAAGTTTGAATTCTGAATATGAGCTGACTTTTCCTTTAAACAAATGAACTTTTCTATTGAAATATATTGAAAATATCTGTGCATGAGTGAGTCACTCACATCCTGTGAACTTTGCTGGGAGTTTTTGGATGACAGGCTCGTGTCCTGAGACATCCCCTGGGACTGCTCATGCCAAAACTGGGAGCCAAAGAACACCTGGGAATCTGTCAAACCTGAGTTTTCACTGTCTGCCACATTTCTGCCCATTAGTTAGTCACCATCATGTAGTTTGTTGAGGGAAAAACAAACAACCATTACAGTAATAAATAAATAGAACCTGTCATTAAATAGAAACTTTAACCCAAATTATCAGCTTATTAACTATCAACTGTGGTTGACAAGAAACAATATGAAAATGGCTAACCACCTGGGTCCAGTTGGTATGTTCAACATTTCCTTTATGTTCTTCATATAACTCATTGTGTTTCCAGCACAAAGGAAGCTAGCTTTACTTTAGGCAAGCTAACTTGCTATGCTACTTCGTTCAAGAAGGCTAAACAAAAAGATGCAACAAGTTACAAAAAAGTCATCCACATATATGTGTGAAATCTAAAATCCAAAGTGTGGATGAAAAACCTGAAGATATTATTTCCCTGAATCAACTCACAGGTGCCTAGCAATATAAAAAACCTTTTAAGCTATTAGCTATTAGCCTTTTCAAATGTCCCGCCATTTACATTCGAAGCTGCGTTCAAGGGCCGTGGAAAAAAGGGTATCTATCGAAAGGATAATCCTACTATTTATGCGGATGTAGCTGGATAAGGAGCTAAAATTCACAGAAACAGATCTAAGACGGGCTCTGTAGTAATGCTATTTGTTTTCTGTTCCCTTCATGTTCATATTTGCGATTTAGAATTAAAAAGCTTGTTTAATATGGTACAATGAGACATATCTGCAGCTCATTATATGGTCTGTTGATATAATAATAACAACAATAAATCAAGCAATCTTAACCAAAACTTTCAGTATATTTGCACATGTCCCCTTTACTTTAATAGCTAATCATTCATTTCCAGTGATGACAGTGGTACATAAACCCTCCGGTGTAATTCACCGCTCCGCAGAGTCAGCGGGGTCTAGCAAACGGTTGATCAGACAGAGGGACTCTGATGTCGGCTAGCGTCTCTCTGCTGCTCCGTCCTCCCACACGCGGTGGTGCATTTAGGGACCGTCAACAAATCTTTGAACCAGCACTCTGGAGAAACAAAAATCAATAAAGACCTTTTCTTATGACCAGCTAAGACGAAACTAATATAAAATCATGCCAATAGATAACATATGTAAGATACACTTAGTTATATGTGATTTTAAGCTATTTTTAAGATATTCTTAAAGACAAAAGTTGGGACTTTTCTTCAATATCTTCCAGGTCATGTGACCTACTGACTCAAATTCTTGGTGAAATTGTTTTACAACATTGGCCTGATGGGATACATAATTCACCGCAGTGTGTAATTCACTCTAAATAAATTGTTTTATTTCTAGTTTGTGCATTTCTACAATTCGGTGTATGTATTGTTTAGTCATGCATACTTACATTTCTGTCTGTTAAAGGTAGAATTTTTCTTCTTTAAAATTATATCAACAACGTACAGATGAAAAGCCTGGTAGCAAGAGTGGCACACATTTATTTTGTTTAGCATTCTAATTTTTTAAAAGACAAATTAATGAAAGTGAATCCAATGACAACAGTCAAAGTATTGGGGAAAAAAACTACACAAAAGTTGTAAATGGTGTTATGGTTAAAATGAGCATGCCTATGTTTAAACATAAATAGATCTAAAATGAACAGAAAAATAACAAAACTGCGCAACTGCAAAAACAAGGGTGTTGATGCAGAATTTATTTTTATTGTTCAATAACAATATACCTTACCTCACAGAAGAACAAGGAATAGTGAATAGGTAATACAAAAGAGAGAAACATAATCAAGGTTTATGACTGAAGGACAAGCATATGAATGTGAGGCAAATAAAAGGCAATGGAGCATTTTTTTTAACCAGAAGAAAAGTAGATATAATTAACCATATGCATATACATATTTCAAACCCATCAAATGGGAGTATTAAGATTTAAAATGGTTACGAAAGATATCAAAAGAAGAGAAACCGCAAAAAACCAACATCAGTTATGTCAGACATTGGGTTATCAAGATCATCAACATATTATGGTTCATGGTAGCATTGATTTTAAGTATTTCTTAAGTCTCTCCAGAGTGAATTTGAAAAAGGGCATAAGCGCAAAAGATGGATAAGGGATTCTCCTGGGCATACATAAAAGTGTTAGAAAATACCCTTTAATAGAATTTATTAATACCTAAATATCCCCAATGAAATCATTTAACAATTTTGTTTTTTTAAAGTAGACACAAGAACACTATTATAAAACTTCCTATCTGTTAGATTGTCTCTAAATTTGAAGTTTGGATAAGGATAGACTTTTCGCAAGAAGGCAAAAAGTGTTGTTTTCTGCAATAAACATGTAAAAGAAGGTCCTATAGTGAGACATGATCACTACTGAGCATTATTTATTTTTTTTCATTTCATTCATGGTTTTTACACTATTATAATGAATACATTATGATTTTATCATTAAACAACACATGAAAAGTAATGGAAAAATATAAACATGTAACATCTGCCCCTGTCTGTCTAAATATTCCCATGAGGCACCAACAGGGTAAAAACAAAAGTGCATCAAATCAAAAACATAGAATAAAATAAAATTATAAAATAAAATTATAAATATCAATTCCTCCCATCCTCCATTGCATAAAAGCTAATTTTAGATTTTTAAAATATTTTCCTAAACAGAAAAATAGTTTAGTATTCCATAATTTAACACCTGCCACAGATATACACATGTTTTAATGTAACCTGAATAAACCTGGGTTTAAAGTCCAATCATCCATTTTGAATAGGTTTTGTAAGTTTGCTGGTAAACGTCTATTTTCTGCTTTACGCATTATTATCAAAGTCTGAAGCTAAATATATATATATATATATATATATATATATATATATATATATATATATATATATATACATTACAATTGTGTAGGTTCTCTATACTTTATATATTATTCTTATGGCTTTTTTCTATTATAGATATGAAGGTAATTTATAAGTATTGCCCCACACAATCAAACCATACATAATATATGCCAAGATCAGCACAAAACAGAATTATAAATGTATTAGCATCCAAATTGTGCTTTTCCTTATTAAAAATAAAAGTGTTTTGCTACCTTAGATTTAAGTTATGCAATGTGATTTTTCCATGTTAATGTATCATTCAATAGGACACCAGTAATCTCACTTCATGCACTCATTCAATATTCACCCCATCAATACAAAACACAATTTTCTTCTGTGTTCTAATCGCAAAAACTATAAAGTTATATTTTTATTAGTTATTATAATAAACACATCTTTTAAGTGTATTAATTTCCTTTATAAGGCTTTCTGTCTTCTTTTTTTTAAATAATTTCAGCCTTTACACAAAGCATATAATGTAGAAGAGGATTAGGGGCACTGAAATGTTTTTTAAAAAGTTAACTGATTTTTAAATATTATTTCAGTTTGATATGGGAAAAAAGTAAGAATTCTGACTTTAATCTGAGAATTCTGACAGCTAACAAATGTGTCAGCATCAAGCTGTAGCCATGTCTGTTTTAGAGACTAGATCTCTTGTTTTAATGACCCTCTGCTCCTCAAATAATGAAATAGCATCACCAGCGACCCCTCGGACACCTAAAAAGTTGCCTAATTGCGTCATTTTTCACCGATGTGTTACTGGCCCTTTGTCAGTGAAGCTGAGTGCTCCCACATCTCTTCTTTCATGGTGCCCATTTACATTAAGATCAAACATTCTGAGATTAAAGTCAGAATTCTAACTTTTTTCTCATATTATGCTGAAATAATAATAATAATAAAAAATCAGTTAACTTTTTTTGTGTTTTCAGTGGCCCTAATCCTCTTCCATAAATGTTGCGCATTAGACACACAATCTCAATATTGTAAGTCAGTGGTGGAACCATAATGCAATGGGATTGGCTCTTTATAACAAAGGCATGGGGGCTACTCATTTCTATTTATTAGAAGAATTCAACTAAAACAGGAAATTGCTGAAAGCTGTTTTAGTAAAATGTGAATTTTAAACTTCAGCAGCTCTGCAAACACACAGCTCAAATTATAATAGACGCATTTTAGATAGTCATATTTATATTAATTTAATATCATCAGCGTGCACATTTAAGTATATCCGTACACTTTTTCGATTTTTGTTTTGTTTTGGAAACAAAGATAAAGTAAAATAGGAGCGTCAAACGTTGAATCATATAGCAGTGCAGTAGAAGGTGGCCCTCACGTGTGGATTTTATTTTTGAAAACCGTTTCCGGAAGTGACTGATGCACAGTAGAAGTAGGCAGTCGTGTGTGGATTTTATTTTGAAAACCTTTTTCGGAAGTAACTGATGCATTTGTTTTTTCAAAGCTGGGGTCCTCCGAGTCATAAGATTATCTGTCTTGAGAGCGTTTGAGGAGAAGAGGCGTGTGTCCATGTCAAATCCACTCACGAACACCGGTGCCTGTGTGGTAAGGGCTCTGCTGCAGACCAGACCAGCAGGTTTTTAACCGGTACAGGTGAGTTTAGGTCAGGCTGAAGCCTGCAGTCCTGCTCATCAGGGAACTTTCCTTTCGTTTTGCAGCGCTGATAAACAGCAGAACCTGTAGCCGTGATTTAACCAGATCAGGTGAAGCAGATTTATTTCCACTTTCTAATGTGTCTGTGTATCGCTGGTTTTAACAACAGATTTCTGTTTGCTCGCAATTCGAGGCTATTGCTTCATTCAATGACAGGTGCTAGCTAACAGCTGATGGATCAGTCCGCAGACCTGCTGCTCCTCTGTTTACAACCTGGCTTCATCCGCCAGAGATGCAGAGAAATGTTTAAAAAGCAGTTTGTTAGCTTATTTTATCTCTAAGCCGTCTAACATATTTTCTTTCGATAATATTTGATTGTTTAAACGCTCTTAAGTAATACATTATTTTAAAAGACGAGACGTTGGCAGCTACAACATGCCCTATTTTTTTTTATTAACATTTTAGTTAGCCTCAATCTAGCAGAGATTAAAGCATCTTTGTTAAAGAAATAATAGAAAGTTTTGCTGATTTAAACAAAAAAACCCAAATTTATTTAACTAAAAGAGTGATATATGTGCTAATAAAAATGTATGGCCTTTTTACAATTGGTGTGAGGCTGTTTATTAAAATGGCCAAATCTTCTGTAGATGGGCTCAGCCAGGGGCGGATCTAGATGGGGGGCCAGGGGTGGCCATGGCCACCCTTAGTCAATCATTGGCCACCCCTACCATTTATTTCCCTCTAATACAGATGGTGGCAGAGTAATAATCTCAAGTGGAATATTGAAAACATTTAAATTTTTCATGTATTAACAATAACTTGACAACAAGAACACTGTGGTTAATTATGCACATGAATATTATAACATTAAAAATGATAAGTACAGAATTCAAGCAGAAATAGATTTTGTGTTTTATGTGGTAAAGAGAAAATTATGTGTCTCTGCAAGTCATCTAGGAGTCTTCAGTGAAATAGATAAATAACAATTTTAATAAAAACGTATTAAGTAATCAATTTATGTAGATATTAGTACTTGTCAATATCAATTTTTTGCAAAATGATTATTGATAAAAGTAGGTAAGTAATGACAATGGAGAAGACGTTTGCCCAAAACTCAAACCTGAAAGAATTTTATCCACTATACCTTTTATTTAGAAAGCACAGATGTTTGAGTATATTCATCTATTTGTTAGCGAAGGCTGTGGGAAAGTATAGTTTGTCTTTTTTTAGAAAATATGGATGTTTTGCCTGTTAATTTTCCTGTTGGAACAGTAGATTGACCATGAGGTTTTGGTGCCTATCTACTTTTGGCCACCCCTCAGTGTACATTGGTTATTGCCTGGCCACCCTTGTAAAAAATTTCTGGCTATGCCTCTGGGCTCAGCAGACCGGATTGACCGATTCGTCAAGCACAGAAAGATGTGACTTCTTTTTCTTGCTTATTTAAACGATTAAAAACTTACATTTCCAGCATTTCAGCATTTTTTTTGTATTTTTTTACCCCGCGTTAGTTTAAATGTTCCCTGCTGCTGCTCGATTGCAGAACCCGATCCACACTTAATTTAACTTCATTTTTTAATTCTTTTTACTAAATAATAAGCGTATTGAACTGGGACCTAATTTAATACCAAAAACATGTAAATGTGAGAGGGTAGGACAAAAAGAAACAATCTTCCAAACCATGATTGTCAATTGAAAAGTTTAAAAATTGCAGGTAAAAAAATTTACCCATCAAGTTTTATGGCAGACGGAAGCATATAATCCTCTAAAATCTACAGATAGATTACAGGTGCTGTTTGCTGTTTATTTTATTTTATTTTTGACCTTTACTTGGTTGTGTGATATATACTTAATGTGAAGTTTGATAACTTACTGCATTGGTGGTTTTAATTCCTCTGCAGCTCCTGTAGTTTTTGTGCACATCTGCATCTAAAGATATTGGAGATAAACAAAACAAGCTGTTACAGGCTAACACTTTTAAACACCACTGGAGGAGTAAACGGCAGCCCTTTTTCTGTAGTTTTTCCAGGATAGGACACAAAAAGCAAGAAACCTCAAAGTAAGCATTAGTGTTGTGTCACAAAGCAAGATGTGTCGTGCTTTGTGACATAAGCTGCACTTCTATTACAAATGTGTACAGAAAACTATGTTGATATTATGCTAATTTCCATTAAATAAGAAATGCAATAAAACATTTGACATGAATATGTTTGTTCACATGATTACTTAAAACACTTAGATGAGATATATGTCCATTTTTTCAGCCATGGCAGTAGTGGTTAACACGCTTGTTGCAGACTAAATGTAAAAAAAAAACTCTCCTCATGAATCCAAATGTGCTGCACCATCATCCTCCAACTACCTCTGGTCTTCTTATTCATGTAAGGTCCAGTTTTAGATCATGTGACTGGTGTGATGGGAGAAAAAGTGTTTTTATTGCAGTTTTGCAGAATATAATAATTGCATATGAATGGAAAACAAAACAGCCCATCAAAGGCAACAAACATTTTATTGAGTTTTTGTTCTACATTGCAGTGTTTCCATTTAGTGGATTTAATTTTGTAAAAACATAATTCAGAATTTGATGTTCAATGTTAACACTGCTACTGATGATTGTCGAAATAAAATATGTTTCACTCCCAAGGGTTCAAGTATGGGCTTGTCATTCCTTTTGGTCTTGGCTGCCTCTGTTATCCTGATCAGACCGGAAACCCCTGTAACAAAGGTAAAGAGTTAATGATACTAACCTGCTGTCACTGCATGCAGTTTAGGTTTTACAGCTTCATTATTTGATGCCTTGTCTTCTGCTTAAAGGCCCTACATCAGAACTCACTGGAGTGCTGCGGAGAGAAACAGAGAGGGAACAATTCATGCTCAAATGACACTCACTGTGAACCAGGTAGTGGGTCGTTTTCATTTAAAGCAGTTATCCTCCATTTATTTCACCACAACCAGCATGTTTAGTGTTTACTATGTTTTTATTCAGTGCTCAATGTAATAAAATGTGCTTTTAACACAGCTCATGCTCTGTAAGCTTTGTAAGTCTTGCTCCAGATATTTCAGTTAGTTCCATTAGCTTTTAGGTTTTGAATTAGAATAGGCCATCCTAACACATAAATAGGCTTTGATCTCAACCATTCGGTTGTAGCTAAGGTATTTAAGGTTGCTGTCCTGCTAATAGAGGATTCCTCTCTTCATTCTTAAATCTTTCACAGTCTATTACCATTTTTATTCAAAATATTGAATTATTGAATTTCCCTCTAATCTTTCCATTAAATATGATCTTTTTCTCCATGCCCCCCCCCAAAAAAAAGCTTTCTTGCAGCATGATGCTGCCACACCCGTGTCTCGGTATTTGGATGGTGTGCATAGGTTGATGCATTTAGAATGCTATGCTGTACTTTATCAGATAACAGTACTAAATGTGGGTAAAGTGCAGCAGCGTGAATGCCTTCTGGATGCACTCTCCATAGTTTACTTTACCCATGATGACCATGTCTCTAACATGGACACTAAGGCTGAATCCTAGACTGACCCCTAAACACTAACACTAAGAACTAACCTTCTGCATGTTCTTGCAGAGGGTCTGTCACATTAAGGGCTATTCCAAGCCGCGTAGTGAGTAGGGCCAGTGAACAGTTCAGCCCTTAAATAGTGTCTGCATCGGTGCAGGCTCGCTGGAATTTAGCAGCAGGTGTAACAGCGAATTAATGGCTGAGGAAACGCGTGGATTCAAATGTAAGTTCCGCTGAATTGCTGCATCTTCGTCACACTGACGGGAAAAAAGAAAAGAAAAAAAAGACATAATTAATCCCTAAATTTAAGTTTCTCTTTGAAATAGTTATTTCACTTGATACATTTATTTTTTTTTAAAGAAAATGGTAAATGTTTGATGCTGCATGAGCTACAGCCATGCACATGGAGCATCTCTGTGTTGCCATAGGAACGACTGCTTTCCCTTTCTGTTGGAGAGAAGAGGCCGTCCCATTCATGTTTATACCCCCCCCTGTACAATCCAGGCACCTGTGAGTGTGACTTCATTGCGAAGGGCCACTTGATAGTTAAGGGTTTGTAGTTAGGGGGCGATTTGGGATTCAGCCGACTGCTCCTCTGGTCTGGCTTCTCAGAAGAGATGGAGAGCTGTGTCATCTGTATACATCCCAAACTAAAATCCCTGATTTGGCGACTTTTGAAGGCAATTTATTGGGCTGAGTTATCGCATTAAACTGGCCCAACATGTATGAACACCCTATAGGAACTATTAAAATTGGTTTAGCACTCTGCCTCCACTGCAGTTATTTATTGCTCACATAAAATGCTAAGGGGAAATTTGAAATGGGAAAGAAAAGTAAAAGAGTAAAGAAATCAAAAGCCATGTCCCTTTCTTGTGCTCATGGAGACTTCAGTTTAAATTTTAACTTCAAAACCAAAGCACTGTATTTTGAACATTGGTTTCTAATTATTGCTCCTTTTTGTTAAATATGCTGAACCCATATTAGCAAAGATCCCATATGTTTAAGTTTTCTGTGATTGAATCTTCCAGGTTGCTTCTATCGTGTGCTGGAGAACAGCAATACTGTCTGCATATTCTGTGACTCGGCAGCGGTGGATTTAGAGAATGTAACCGTCTGCACGTACAGTAAGAGCTTTTAAATCTACATTGTTTTGGGTGAGTGTTAATGGATGGATAACTGGACCTTGTTTTTATAATTTCTAGACTACACATTGGACCGTAAAAACCGCACAACAGTAACGACGGTCATTCCTAAAATTGGTAAGAAGCTGAAATTATCTCCTAGTTTTTCTCTCACAGTTTTTTTTTTTTTTTTTGTTGCCTTTTTTGAATCAGGTTTGTTTCCTGTTTTGGTGCAGGAGGCCCTGGTGTGGCGGCCTCTGTCCTTCTAGGAACCCTATTGATCAGCATGTTCCTCATCCTCACTGTTGCCTCCTTTTTCTACCTCAAACGCTCCAACCGGCTGCCTGGTTTCTTCTATCGGCGGAACAAAGGTGAGTAGCGCAGGTTTCTGACTTGGAACATGAACAAACCTCCTTTGAGGAAAAACACAAGAATGCCAGGGTGCTCTAGAGATTTTAAAGATCATTTCCTGTTTTTTCCTCAGCGTTTATATTTCAACCAAGTGAGACAGTAAGTCATTCTTCTTCCAAACATTTTAATTTGATGTGAACATTGATAAAAGGCTCATGGCCTTTGTTTTTGTCCCCTATAGGCGGTTATGATCCCCTCCTCATCAGGTAAGACGACGCCGTCAGTAAAGTGTCCTATTCTTGCTCAACAGGTTTTGGTGTCAAGTTAGCAATGCCTTGAATGTTTGGGATTGCTGCCGACATTTTGCAACTGTCCAAAGATTTTATTTTAATGAGTTGTGTGGAAGTACCTGTTGCACAGGTTTCAAAACACCAATTAGAAATCCCCTAGATTACATTTATGTCCCTTGCAAAAATATTCAGACATATTAGGCACACATTACAACCATAAAAATCTGTATGTTCTGATGGACCAACAAATGCTCTAAAAAGAAATGTACTCTGCAAGTTGTCTAGAGCGCTCTCAGCAAGCAGAAGAGGAAACATTGCTAGTGTCCATTTTCACCTTAAATACAACCAAAAAGAGCTGATTTTAATAAAAATAAAGTCTAGTACTACAGACGTTGGGACATCTCCACCAATACAATGAGCTGCATGTGCTTTGTCAGTCTTAAAAACAAAATGTACCACATCCTGTCACATAGTTACTCCTCTCATGTCACATTTTCACAAATGCATAGCCTATAATTCATGTTTTGTTAGGAATCTGGAGCAGAAATAAATGATCACAGCATACTTCTGGATACTTGGATTGCAGCTGGAAAGTATTCACAGCTCTTCAGTATTCCAGTTTATTTAGCTGCATTATTACAATTTGTATTAAATTCTGTCCTTAAAATTTTAAAATAATTTGTATGTAAAATTCAACTCTAACACATGTATGTAGACTCTGTGTGAAATAATTGGTACTTTGTGCACATTAGTCTTTTCAGACTTCTACACACAAAGGTATTTAGTCATATTGCAAGTGATGTCGTCACTGCAGCATTAACTGGTTATTGCACATTGTGGAATTCATAATATGCTATTGTATGGATTGTTATGTGTTGGGAAAACCTCATTTTCATATTGTTGAAAAATAGGATCTGAAAAGTGTGGCATGGGTTTTTTCTGGTTTTATTTTATTACATAGCCCAAACTTATTCATAAGTCTCAACTTCCTCTCTAACCTGTGGGGTTCCATAGAGCTTGGTTTTTAGTCCTCTCTTTTTATATACTTTTTTTGGGTGGTTTTTAATCTTTTAATAATATTTCTTATCACTTTTATGCAGGTCACATTCAACTATAGATTTCTTTAGAGCCTTATCAGCTGGGTAGGCTCCCAACCCTTTTTTTGCAACTACCTTGTTTATAACTTCCAAAACACAGAGACAATGGTTATAGCGCCTCCTGGACTTGGTTCAAAAATCAGTCAGGTTCTTGCTTCATTTTCCTCTTCTTTTTTTGCCAGTGGGAAGGGAGCCAAATTCAGAGTGTTAAGGAGTTGACCCATGTTTGGATAACACGTCTTAACCTGCTAATTTCAGTAGGAAAGAGGCCTCAGTCTCTATTTACTCCAAGCTCTACAAAATGCTTCAGAATACTCTTTAAAAATTCAGCACCATAACAGGACAAACACTAAATACCCACACCCCAGATTTCCTATGTAATCTTATACAATAACAGATTATTTCCCTCTGTTCACAAGCTCAGATTTTGTGGGTTGTTCCTCAAATCAGATTGAATACAAATGGGGATTAAGCCGTTCAGTCGATTCCACCAAGGCTGTGGAATACAGTAGTCTACCTCTGCAGCTACATTTAGTTAAATCTGTTGACCCTTTTAAGAAGCAGGCTATTGAATTTTTATTTTTGTTTTTTATTTAATTTAATTGCAAATTATACTTTTTTTGGACAGTGCTTTGTGGTTGCTTTATGTGTGAAAGGTGCCTAATCAATATACTTAGTTTTTCAGTCTGGGGGGCTGTTTTATTTCTGTTGCAATCCCCACTTCACTTACCTAAGACAAGTCTTTTGCAGCCTCTAACAGGTTATCTTCCATACATAAGGCTTCATAATTTAACAAATACAGCATCAGTGTATCAGCATCATGATGCTGGGTAATTATCTGTTTCTCTTCTGCAGTGAGGAAGCCTAGATACGTAAGACGGGAGCGTCCACCTACAACGTCGACTCTGAACAGCGCCACCATACCCACCTCAGCTACCACTCAGGTGTATAATGCGTAGGGGAAGGAAGGGTTTGGGTGCAGGTTGAAGAAAGCTCAGGAAGGATGTCCAAGTCTGATGTGAAGGAAAACAAGCTGACTCTGGGAATGTAGGCCAAATGTACCTACTGCTGCTGCTCCTGCCTTGGTCTCACAAAGGCTGACGCCATTTATGTTTGTAACAGTGAACCTGTCCTACTGATGCTCTGAATTTACCTGAAAACTGTTTTTGTTTTTTAGTTGAGACACTGTTATACAATTATCCTGATCGATTTCCAATTTCTAATTCTGTTTTCCCAGGGTCACTACAATAAAATAAGTGCCAAGAATCAAGAGGGTTTTTGCAGACCCTTTTTCAGAGCTTTTAAAAGTTGTAAAAATAAAGGAAAAAGCTGCTTAAACAAAAAGAAAAAGCCTTTTAAATAAACCGTCTTTAATCTGCCTCTGAATGTAAACTCAGCTAATGCATCTATATCATTAAACAAATGAAAGTTACTTTTTTTTTCCCCTTAAAAGGTTTGGTATCTGTGATATTTGTGGAACAAACAGTCTATTAACATTCGACAGGAAACAGATTTTTTTTTTTTATTTCTACTAAACCTGTTTTTTTATTCTTGCTTTGTATTTATGCACTGAGTTTTAATGACTACTGTTGGGCCAGAATATATCAAAGAGAAGTCCCAAGAGCACTGTATAGATCAATATTTCTTTGTTCTGAATTTTGTTGTTTTTATGTTGCCATTGTATTTATTTTAGTAACCAGTGGAGGGGTATTAATGTGAGCGCATTGTGTGGTCGTCACTAACTGCATTCCACTGGCTGTCATAATCGGAATATTTATAGGGTATTTATTCAGAAAATATTTCCATTTAGTTTAAATCCAAACTTTTATCACTTTTAAGCAATGTTGGCGGACCTATGTGCACTTTAATGTTTTCAGCTGTGCAAGTATAGCTGTTTTCTTTTTTTTTGTACAGAAAGTGGCAATATTTTTTTCCAGTTATGAGCTTCATTTGTCTATTTCATTTACCAAAATGGCTTGTTGACATGACTGTGATTTGTGTGCCATTATTAGCTTTAAATACAGCAGATTATCTTTTTTTAGTGATGTATCTGTGATGGATTGGATTTTTGATTTGCTTCCAGTGGCCTTTACTGTGTCTATAATCCTTATACAAGTTTTCTTGGTGGTATAGTTTAGTCTTTTTTCTGTTCCATTAAGTCGACCCTTTGGTGTACAGATACTTTTGTGGTTTGCAAATAAGCTACACCTGCATCAGTCATTCCTTAGCTATTGTTCCTTTATGCTACTGCTAATTACTGTTGTACAGAAAAGCTCAAAATGCGCATATTGTTTTATAAAAATGGAGTGTTTTTGTAATGTACATTTTCTTGTTTTAGTGCCATGATAAAAGTTTTAAAGATGTATAATTTGCAGAAATAAATCACCTTTCTACAATAAAACTGCAGCTTTTTTGTTTTTTGATTAACTTTCTAAAGAAGTGTTTTTTGTCATCTCTAAAGGGGTCATAGAATGCAAAACCGAGTTTACATTGTCATAGATGAATAACGATAGTTCAGTGGGTGAAATGGACAGAGAAGTTCAAACCCCATCGACACCTTGAGCTCCGGCGCTTTTTATTGTACTGATTGTTGACTGAAAATCCTGGGAGGCTCTTGTGTCTTTATTTTCCCACAACTCTTTATGTTATTACCATAATCCTTCATTTTGTTCACAGCAGGACAACACAATCCAATATACTTTTGAAGTTCTAATAATTGATGCATGATTAAACAAAATATTTTTTCCAATGTAAATCCAAAACATGCAAGTTTGTAGTTAAATTATGGTTAAAACGAAATCTAACACAAATCTGCTTTGATGATCACTCCAGGGTAGTTGGCTGTGCTTCAGTTTTCCCTACAGGAGATGAACTGCTTTCTTAGTTTCAAATATTCTCTAGCCAGAAGTATTTTCTTTAAACAGTTACTAAAATGATCCAGTCTGTTTTGAAAGTTTTAGTCCCTGAGACTCGAACTTTTGCACTTTTATTCATTTTTTTTAGACATTTTTGTGATTAGGTGAATATTTTTAACCTGACTGTATTTACATCTGCTCACTTTGTTGATTTCATTTAATCAACAATGCTACAGCTAAGATAGTAAATGTACCTTCTCTTATAAGATCTAATTAAAAGAAAATAAAAAATCCTCAAGAATATTGTAAGAAAAAACATACAATCTTAAACATAACTTAAATACAGTATAGTTCCACCTAAAGGCATTTAAAAAAACAACAACAAAAAAACAAAAGAAGAAAACATTCAATACCCTTGTTAAAAAAAGCACTCATGGTGGTTTCTGTCACCTGTCAGATCCCAACAACTAAAACAACGAATGACAAAGATAGGAGCACTGCAAAAAACTGAAATCTAACGTTATTTCTTCCTAAAATAAATGCATTTGTCTTGAAGTGAGGGGGTAAGTGAAACACTTTGCCAATGGAACAAGACCGTTTACATTTAAAATGGGAACAGAATTGCATTGTCTTATTTCAAGTGCATATTATCTAATTATTTTAAGAGTAAAAATGATCATTCCATTGGCAAATCATCTTATTTACCTGCTGAAATTTAGGGTAAATACACTTAATTTAAGAAATGTTTACTCATTTCTAAATTGTTTTGCAGTGAGTATTCATCGATATGAGTGCCATTTGTATACATAGATTAATATCAGATGAATTTGTTGAGAGAGAGAAGTATTATACACCTGTCATCTCTACCGACTAATTATCTGGTTCAGCTTGTATTTATGTATGAAGAAAAAGTAATTGGACCATTCAGGAAGAGAAGACGCAGTAAATGGCGTCCATGTCATAGTTTTATTTAACAAAAAGTATTTGTTTTTCCTTTTTAATAATTTGATATAAATTTGAAATACACAGAGAAACTATCTTTTCATCCAGCCATTGATTGTACCCTGCCAGCATCGAAACAGGCTGATGTCTATATTAAAACTGTTACATGTGAAATTAGCTTTAAAAACACCACAGGTGTTTACACCCTAAAACCTCTTGTTGGGTTTAAGCAAATTATTGTTTTCAGTAATAATTAGTTGTAGTATTAGCAAGTACTATTTTAGGAACTAAGATGCCACACCTCTGCTGAAGATGGAAAGCTACACGTGACAAAGACACGTTGCTCTATTTATACCAATGGAGTGAAAGGCCTCAGTGTGACTTAAGCAAGGACAGATAGATATCATAGTTGAAATGTCCTGCAGGAAAACACAGAGAGCACTTTCAGACTGGATGATTAATCCATCTGCAGCAGGTAGGATCTTCTTTGCTGCTGAAACTCAATAATGGAGTGTGTGGGAAAAAAAAAAAAAAACTTTGCATGCTTGATGAATAATGTAAACCAATGTGACCTTGCTTTGAGAGCTGAATAGGTGTTTAAATCAAGAGTCTTAAGCTTGTTAAGCAGTTCTGCTCAGAGATGGTAAAACACACACACACACATATATATATATATATGTTATATAATATAAGATTTAATAAATAGAATAAAGGAAATATGATTGAAAGGGTTTGCATATGGGTATCGGCGTCATATCTCACTGAGCTTGTTTGTTAAGCTGATATGTTGCATCTCTGCTTTCCTTTCCCCCATACCAGATCATGTAACTTGTTTACAGAGAGCTGTGGGGGTATTTTGGGGATTTGCATGTGACTGTAATGCCCTAGTGTTCGATTGCCACTACAGAGGCACGCCATCTTTGTTCCTTTCCAACATGGCAGGTGATAACAACCTTTAGAAAAACGGCCTTGCTCTAAATTTAGATCAATTGTATCAAGCACACATACCTCAGTCAAGGATTCTACACTATCTGGGAAATAAGTTAATTTATTATAAGTACATTCCAGGACTGGAGAATTATGGGAAAATACCCATTATTTTATTTTTCATCCTGCTGTTCTATATGTCATTTGTCCTCTAGGGGGACATAATGTAAAAAAAAAAATGTTTGGTGCATACTTTTGCAATGCCCTACTTTGTCCATTATTTACCTAATTTACAATCAGATGGTTTTACAGTTTCCATATGTAAAACCTTGCTACTCTAGAGGGAGATGATTTAGAATGTCGGTGAACCTTTTTGTTAATGGCTATAAAATGGACTTCAAAAAAGACTAAGACCTGTGGGAATTTTGAGCTGGGGATATGTGCTAAAAGAATTGTTCATTCTTAATTGGGCCGAAGCTAAGTTTGTATATTCTCTTTGTTTGTTTGTTTTTTCATAGTAATGTAAGACATCAAGTATGGATGACCTGGATCACAGTATTCACATTGCAGAGAATGACTGGAGCAGCTTCTATGATGACAGCGAGGAATGTAATCTACTGCAGGCTTCTCTTGCCTACCCTGATGACTCTGATCTCAGCGACTCAGAGGATTCAGGAAACTTCCACACAGGCCAGCAGAACACAAACAAGAGTGCAAATAGCCACGAAGCTGAGGAAAGCTACACAGATGGCACTCATCTACCACCACAGCCTATTCAGTGTGATGCAACGTCCTTGAAACCGGTGGAACTATGTGTCGGCTGTCCAGAAAGAAATGCAATCTCCATAGAGCCTGCACACAAAGATATTGCACAAGAAATTCTGCACGAGAAGAATGACAGCAGCACAAACATGCTGGAAAAGAATCCTCAGATCACTTGCAATTCAGAAGAGATGCTGTCAAAAGATGGAGCTGTGCAAATGACGAGTAACTTCAAAGCCACAAAGACACCTGACCTGCTTTCCCAAAAAGAATCAGTGCAGAGCATGAGCAAGCCAGACCCCACAGGCAGAGCAGAGAAAGAGCGCTGGTTCGTGACAGTGAATGACAATATGGCACGTCGGCGAGGGCGTTCCATCTCTGAGAAAAAAAAACTCAAACAAAAAAGACATGCTGAGAGAACATATGTTCACAATGCAGGTCGCAAACTAGAGCAAAAACAATCAAGATATTTTAGGCTAAACAAAAATAAGGAATCTGAAGATTCAGACAAATCCTATGACAGCTTCTCATCCTTAGGGAGTTCACAACTTCAAGATGGTGCTGAACTCTCCTCCACAGGCAGCTGGGATTCTGAGACCTATTTGTCAGCTGCTGAATCTGTTGAAGAAGATGCGCATCCTCTTCAAGAAGGTCTCAGTACACACCTTCCTTTGCAATGTGCATTAAGCCCAACATGTGACAACCTGGACTTCTGCCAGACTCTCTCCTATAATGCACCAAACTGCGGAGATGATATTACTCCTGAAAGCCTTTCCACTTCTTCATGTGCAGAAATGCCAGATGGAAACTTCATATCTGGAAATGACACATGTTCTGAAACCCCCCCACTGGCTTTAGCATCTGCTGACTCTAAAGAAGATTATCTCAGCCATCTACCTGCTCACGATTTAACTCGCACACCTAGCTGTACACCAGAAACATTTGCCAAAGCTACAGGTCAGGCTCAGCCAGTATATGCTATCTCTGCATTCTGGGATGAAGTGGAAAAGCTGACGATAAACGATATTTTGCAGATAAGGATGGGCAGAAACTCTGGAATTAAGGAAGAATCAGTAATGCCTAGCACATGCGGACAACCTGCTAACCCTGGTCAACTAATTGAAAATCTTGACCCAATAATTGACACATCTGACACTGCAGACTCAGACTACTTCACACAGCCAGATGAATCCAAGCCAGATCGATCAGTCTTGGAGTTTTCAGCCTCAGATTTTGAGGAAGGGTCCTGGCAGTTTGTGAATGGAAGTAGAAACTCCACTCCTGATTTGAGGAACAAAACCCAACAAATTGACTCTTCTGTCTTGTTATATGAGCAAGACAACACAGATTCAGAAGGAAGAGAAACTCCCGCTGTTCTAGACCAAAGATTGGACTATCAGGACTATCAAGGTTTGATCTCATGGCCAAAAAGGATGACAAAAAGCAGAAGTTTGTACAACATACAAACTCTCAACACAGAAGACCTACCCCTGCTACCTTCCAATAGTATTGATAAAAGTGATTTTTCTCTTGACAGACCTCAAATTGTGAATGCTTTATTACCCCACACAGACCCACGGGATTACAGGACATCCTTCCCAGAGATCTTTGAATACTTTTTTACAAAACATGACACACAATCACAGATTCTCCTTGTTGATGATCTCCAGGAGATGTTCGTGTCTCCCGTCTTTCACTCGCCTCTTTGTATATTCAGAGAAGATCCACTCCAGTGTAACATAGAAAAAATAATCCCAATCTTCTCTTGCTCTCGTCCTACCGTCCGAGACCTCACATTCCAAAATACGCATGTTTTTCTGAGCACAGACCATGAGGAGGAGAACAAGGCCTCTCCGATGAGACTTCTGTCTCATTCATTTATTCAGGCCAATCCACACAGAGCCTCAGGAGCAGCAGGTGCAGGTGGATCTCCCTGCTGGAAAAGCTTTCTGTCTTTCAGGAAAATTCGCTTCCCAGACAAAGGCAGCATCTGCTGCAGTGAGTCAGGTGCATGGACCTTTCCTCTTCAAACCAAGGAAATCCAGATCGGCAGTCAGAATCAAGTGGTTACCTTGCTCAGTGATGAAAAAGTCTGTCTGGAGTCTTCTCCGGAGTTCAGGGAACTGAAAGAGGAACAGATGATTACAGAAACATCTTATTGGATGACAAGTAGGTCCCAATAGACAGGAGCTAATCTGTAATGTAGTTTGTAGATTAACTTTTGATTTGCACATCTTTGCTATTTTGTTTTGATTATTCAATTTTGGACAATTTTACAGTTTCTTCCTTACAAATCAGAAATCAACATATTTGTCTATTTTATTCCTCTCAAAGAACGAGGAGGCATCTTCTCCAGAGTGAAGCAGTCAGATTTGTGTTTAGTCTGCATTGCTTTTGCCTCATGGGTAATGAGATCCTCCAATCCAAAGGAAGCAGATGCCTGGAAAGCAGGTAGGAACCATCTCCACTATCATTTCAACAATAGACAAGGGAATTTAAAAGGAAGATATAACTCATATTTCAAAACATATACATACATACATATATATATATATATATATATATATATATATATATATATATATATATATAAGGTCTAACAGAAACACTAATTGTATGACTTGAGGGACATTATGAAACCTTGACAAAGTAATGGAACAACTTATGTGCAAAGCTGTATATATATGACTTTTGCTCTAAAGTGTTTGTGTAAACTTCTTATAGTCTTTGAGAGAAAAAAAACCCGAACAAAAACAAAAAACAAGCACCTGAATATACATCATACTTAACATGATTTTTTCTAAATTGTTGTCCAGCTCTTCTGGCGAATGTGAGTGCTCTCTCAGCAATCCAGTACCTGCGGCAGTACATGCAAAGGAAGAACCTTTCCATAGATGACATTTGACTCAAACACAAAGAAGACACAATACCAAACATCCTCACTGTGGGTCGACAAAAATGACAGAAAACATTCAAATTAAATGAAACCTCTGGGATGAGCTTCAAGTTGGTGAAGTAGATAGAAAAGTCACTTTGTTGTACTGGTTAGGTTGACTTGTTAACCAGAAGCCTGTGTGAGAACCATTAGGTAAACAATTAAAAGTACTTACTAATGCAACAAATAATTTATTTGGGAAAATTAACTGTAATCTGATGCATTAACATCTGTATGTCATGCTGATGGCTGCTTTATGCAAGTCGTGATGTAGAACAATAATGATGCCAATGCTGACGTGTTTAGGATCAATATTTTATGGAAACAATTGTTTCTTTATCCCTTGTATGCAACAACTTGGCCACCAAAGATATCCCTGCGCCATGATAACATGACAACATGTTATCACCCCCATGCTTCACACTGTGTGTGGCATAACAGTGTTTGGGGGGTCATTCAACAAACTGTCTGAATCTCAGACAATGAAAGAATAATCTTGCCTTCATCAGTCCATAAAATGCTGCTCCATTGCTCTTTGGGCCAATCAGAGTGCTCTTGTAATAAAGGAAACTTAGAATAGATTACCTCCTTATAGAAATTGTCTGCTTTTGTTTTGTATTTAGACAACTCAGTGTTACCAGATGTTGGGAATCCCCTTCACTACCATTATGTTCTTATGTATATGCTTTGAAGTGCTTTGGACCGGTAGCTACAAGTACTGTAGGTGGATTTGGTCCTTGTCAGATTTTATTTAATCATCAATGATGTTTATGCTTAAGTCATTGTTGTTTCTAGGGAAATTGAAGTAATTGCAGAGGAAGCTGCACACCTTATAGCTGTTAAAAACTCATAGGACGACATAAAAGTGTAGTTCAGACCCATCTTTCTTTCTCCACTGTAGCTGCATAGCTTGGAGTTATCTATGTGCAGTTTTTGTGTCGCTTTTTAAATTTGTGCCACAGAACACTGTATTGCACACTTAGTTCCTTATGACCATACTGCATGTATTTGGATATAAAACAGCCTGTGTATTTTTGGTAATAATATCTTAATCTAATTATGGATTCACATGAAGTTTAAAAATCTGGTTAAAGTGCAAATTTCCTTTTTACTGTTTAAACGTGTTTCTGTATCTCCTCCGAGTGAGCTTACTGACCAAATGGACCATAATGCAAAGGCAGAACAAAAGTTTTATACACACCTGGCAGTTGTTTGACTTTGTCATCAAACATGGATTTGTAGGTTTTAACCGAAGAGGCTCAGTGATGTTACAGAAGAAGGAAATAGGATAAAACGTTGATAAATGTTGGATTTATGGAATTGTGGAGTGAGAGCTTTCTGTTGCTTTTTACTGGCTTTTGAATGGACAGGAGGAATAAACTTCACTTTTGCTTGTTGTGGATTTTCCTTGAACAGACCAAAGACAAATGAAACTGACTGAAGAAACAGGACAAAACTTCTTTTCTGGTTTCAAAATCAGGTGTGTGCCTTAAAAGAAACCTTGTGCAAGACTTTTGTTTTGTTTAGAATATGACATGTTATTAGACCTGTGAAGGATTATTTTCTTGAGGCTGCCACATTTGGTGAAAAAGCGGTTTTTCTAGTTGGTAATGATGTGCAAATCTAGCAATTACTTTCCATTTCAGCAGTGTGTGAAACCCAGTACATTAAATCAGCACCATTTTAACATCCATAGGATGTGTCAAATCTCTTTAGCAATACATTTATTGTATTTAATTATAATATTATTAAAACATTTTTGGGTGGGGGGGGGATCTAAACCAGGCCCGTTTAAGAAGCAAAACCTTCAGTTTGCTTCATGGCTTTTACAAAGACAAAGCTCCGAGGTTTCCCTTGTTTTAAACTTTTAGATACGAATTGTTTCAAAAACAAAAACAGATTTTTATGTAATCCTTTGTAAAATTGACTTAATCTTATAGTTTGGAATTTCACTCACTCATATAAAGCAGCAGGAATAAAAAATACATAAACTGTACAGGAAAAATAACTTTCAGCCTACATTCAGATATGTTTAAGACTGTGTTGGACTGAGCACTACCACATGACATTAAATTATTGTACAGCTGTGTCTCATTATGAAATAAACAACTATCTTATAAAACAAGACAATATTTGTGTTACATATGTGGTGTGTAAAATATCTTCCTCTGCTCAACCTCTTTGACTGTATGTACTTCCTCAGACAGCCAGTGCCTTCCTGTGTGTCCTCTCCAGAGCTTTAAACTGGACCATTAAATCTTAGAAATAAGGATGTGCTTTCTTTTCACAGCTATAACCTTGCAGCAATCAATAATGTAAAAAAAAAAAAAGTCAATATCTTGATACATTGTCATATTTTTGGTTTTTCTTTATTGCAAATTAGGTTATTTCCGGGTATCATGCCATTGATCATAATGCTCATTATTTCATACCTTTGAATTGAAAAAAGTGACTGTTTTAGTTGTTTTAGATGTCTGTTGATTCTGGATGTGTAATAAATGTAAAGGTCCATCATGTTGTCAAGACTTGGCTTCACATAATTTTCTACATGAAGCTGATCTGCTGCTCTGCAATTTACTGTAATAAAAACATAAACATGTGACTCGTCTCCCTAAGTTAATCTGCACAAAGTACACAATATTTCTACCAACAAAGTTAAGAAATACAATCATTCTTTTTTTTTTTTAAACCAAGGGCTTTACTTATAGCTTACATGTGCTTGATTTTTAAACAATGTTAATGGTTTAGGTTTTGAGGGATTCATCTTGCACACTGTGTAGCTCTTACCCTGAAAGCAACTGGTATCACTGCCCTGTTGCAAAATCAAACAGTCCAACTTCTTGTTCTGGAGAACTACCACTTTAGAACAGAGAAATGAGAAGTCCCTCCACCGATCCATTTTCCTTCACGCTTACCACTTCTGGGGTTGTGAGGGGTGCTGGTGTCTATCTCCAGCTGTCAGGGGAGGCAGGGTTCACCCTGGACAGGTCACCAGTCCATCGCAGGGCAACACCGAGACAAAAAGGTCAAACAACCATTCACACACACTGACACCTAAGGAGAATTTAGAGAAGCCAATCAACCTAACAGTCATGTTTTTGGACTGTGGGAGGAAGCTGGAGTACCCAGAAAGAATTCATACATGCACAAAGAGAACATGCAAACTCCATGCAGAAAGAATCGAACCCAGATCCGTCTCGCTGCAAGGCAGCTGTGCTACCCATTGTGCAGCCAGAATGAGAAGTAATTCAATTCGATAAAAAAAATAATGAATTAATCTCAAAAGCAAATTCAATTTTGCAGAAACTTATAGGTTATTTGTTAACCAGGTGTTGTAGGTGCTGAAAGCCGTAGGCAGGAAGGATCATATGTAGCAGTAGCACCGGATCTGAAGAAGCCTCTTACTTTAGACACTGTTGTGTTTAAAAATTGAGTGACTGTTAAAAACATCATCCCTCTAGATTAAATGCTACATCAGAGAAACAAAATCATAGTTGATCAGGTGTTATTCTTATTTTGTTGCCTCACATCAAAATTTTGCTTAGATAGGTTCCAAAGCACTTACCAACGCTTTAAGAATTCATGAAATACCAGAAAGCCATTATCTGCCGATAAAAAAAAAAAAGGAAGAGCTGGGGACCTTCCAAGGAGTGGAAGCACTGATAAAAACATAAAGAAAAAAAAAATTGTAAAAAAGCTATAATAATTTTGCTAAGAAATAGTGGGTCAAAATTCCTCCACACAGATGAAAAAAAACAACAACAGTTCTCCCAAATTTAATAATATAATCATCCTTTGACAAAGGTGACTTAAAACAGTCTTTATGGTCTAACATGCACATTTGTTTTCACTGTACTGTACATCCATGCATGCAGTACGAGTTCAATAATCCAATAGAACTACTGTGTAGTCTGGATAATTTTCACTTATTTACATGGTCAGTAGTTCTATTTTTAAAAACAAAGTGGAGTGTGTATGACGTCATACTGGCTACTATTCATTCATCCTGTCCGCTGAACTGCTGCTAGTTTTACTCACATGCCTGGAAGATGTCTAGTGCTACTACCACAGATGATCTCGCTCTCGAAGTGGAATTGAACAATTCAGATTAGCTAGCCGAATGAATAGAAGACCGCTTTGTTTTTAAAAGATATAAATATAAAAAATATAACCGTGGATGTCTGAGGGACAGTGATTCGCCTACATGCTATGAATGCTGGCGTACCATAAATTATAAATTATGAACAGTTCAGTTTGTGCCTTCAACTTGTTGCCCATAGGAAGACGTTACTTGAATATAACAAAAATGAATATCTTCAGAACAGCTCCAACTGACACAAAACTCATATGGGTGAGTAGAACATGATGTAATAACGTAAAAACAAGGGGCCAGTGTAAAAAAAACGGTGTTCCCCTTTAAGTTTCTTTGAAATTGTTCATGACTGATGTGCATAATACGTTCTTTTGTAAGGTCTTTTTGTGCATAAAATGACTTTAAAGAGGGCAATCAACACTGTTGATAGAAAAACTGTGTTTTTCTATCATTTTAGTGAAATAAGCTCGAGTAGACAGCAAAAGCATTTGTGCAACTTGGGCAGTGATTAGCAAAATGAAAGTTTTTAGTCATTTTTATTCAAAAATAATAGGTATTTTTTATTAAATTTTTGGGTTTTAATCTGGTTGGAAGATATAAGTTTAATTAATCTTTTGGTTAAACCAACCAATTTAATATGGCAGTGCACTGTATATTGATAAAAGGGCAAACCAATAGAAATTGGTCACATTGACCAAAATACTGGTTAGGTATTATAGCAAATTTAAAAAGCTTATAACAGGTATCGAAGCAACAACCACAGGGTTGAAATGCGGAGTTTTACTGCAGACGCACTTTGCAGTAGTAACTGCTCTTTAGAAAGCAATGCTAATGAATATGAATAATATAACAGAGCAGTAGGCTGCTCAGATTCTGAATATTATATTGTTTAATCTAACCAAAATTGTTTTAACTACTCTAATCTTAGAGTGAATATAAAACACTCAACTGAGTGGAACTCTCATACTCCCACATCTTGGCTGAATACTGAGGCTATTTAGATGCGTTCCTAAGTTCCGGGCGAGCTGAACCACTTCCAGAAGCAGTCACATTGTAAGGCGGTAGCAAGGCTTCAGACCTCATCGATTTTTTGAAGCAAGTCTTGATAAGCGCTTTGCGCAAACGCCCCCTCCACAACTCTACACAGGCCTCGAAGCCTCAACTCATCTTATAACATCACTACAGAGTGGGTCCAACCAACAGAAGAAAGCTGAGTCAGAGTTCATCTGATAACATTATTTAACAGCTGCTTTGAAGAAAAGACAGACTTACAGTAAGATATTTAGTTAGATATCTGTTAGCTGAATTTTAATAAAACCTTTACACAAAGTCAATTCATCAGCATCATCAGGGCTTGGGGACAAAAAAAAAAAACAAGAAAAAGGTTTAATTGGAGAAATATTTATTGAAATAAATATGGTATGGATACAGATCGATATATATGTCACATAAATACTGAATTTAGGCAGTATTTCTTAGAAAAAACTCCACCCAAATGTTTAAGAGTTTGTATTCAACTGGGTCATTTTCAGGAAAACAATTTCAATAGATTCTCCAAAGAAAATCTCCTGTCAGTAAACAGACAGGCAGGTTATGGTCCAAGTTTCTACCACACTTTATGACACTATCTTAGGATTTTACTGTTTTCATGCTGAATCAAGTGTTTACATCTACTGATATATCAATAATACTCAGTCATATAGATTATTGTGAACATGTAATATTTACAGTCTCAAAAAAGGAGCTTCGATTATACAGTGAAAAGATATATTGATATATAAAAATTTAGGATTTCAAGATACATTTCTTATTAAGGATTAAATCCAGTCTTCTACGGTGCTTTTAAAGCCTAACCACACAATACAACTTAGTACTAGTATCTTAGTGGAAAAAGTGAAGGGTGAGTCATGCTAAGTCATAACTATCATCCACACAGATTTAAACATTATTCTGTACAAGAACTCTATTAGAAATGACAGATATTAAAAGTTAACACCAAAGTCGGCCTGTTTTTACTCTTCTTTAGCAAGCCCACATGACGGCATAAGAAATAGGTTTTAACAGCTGGTTAGAGGAAAAGTGTGACTTTAAGAGTCTCATCTCAGATGGAGGAACTGCTTATAAACTGGACAATAAAACGAGGAAATTCTGAAGGAAAATCTTAGGGTTTCATGATGCGCAGAACACGAAACGTACTTTGAGTTCCACAACTATTCTTAAATTTATCAACACAAACAAACAAAAGACAGCACACAAAATTACATTTAGAGTGTATAAAGTATAGAATCATATTCTGTAGGGGCATGCACCACCTCAAGATGGCTTGTCACCTTCTTTCTTCAGACGGCTTTGAAAGAGAAAAATAAACCACACAATTAACTTTGGATCTACTTAACATTTTTAGTCACAGGTGATTTTAACAAAGCAACATCCAAAACCAAAGTTAAATGTACCATAAGGTCCAGTTTTCCTTACGCTACATTTAATGGAATTTATCAGGAGGGTTGGAGGTAAGATACAGTGAATGTAAATTAAAGATGCATAAAAATAAATTGAAATGTCATTGTAAAGTTGTCCTTATGGCTCCAGTTAAGGTAACCCCAAAGTGATGTTTTCCCCACAAGGAACTACGGTCCTTACTAAAGAGGCTTTCTTTATATAGAGAGCCATTTCTAGTCACATTAATTTAATTTGAGAGTAATAAAAAAAGAGTAAAGAATTGACATTGCAAATTAGAGAAAGCTGTATATGTTTAAGTGTTGATTGTTTGTTTTTACTCAATGTTTTCCCATCCAAATAAACAACGAAGATGAACAAAGCATTCATGCAAAAGCCGCTTCCAAGTACCGTAATTTTCGTAGTATTAGCCGCACCTGAATATAAGCCGCAGAAGCTAAATTGCATGATTTGTACATATACAAGCCGCAACGGACTATAAGCTGCAGGTTTTTTATGTTTAATGTCCTTCTTTCTTGCTGTCGTTCTGTCTCGTACCACTCGTGGTAGAAGTCTGCTTCCGGAGGACCTCCGCATTCCCCAAGTACGGCTACCGTACTTGTGTGTTGAAGCAAATGTGAAGTCAACATGGTGGATGGTAAAATCCATAGATTTAGGAATTACACTAGTGGCCGTTAGCTGTAAAAGTCCATAGATAGGCCGCATTGTTATATAAGCCACAAGGTCGAAAAATGGGGAAAAAGTCACGGCCTATAGTCCAAATATTACGGTACTGTGTGTATAAACTGATCGATATATGTTTCAGATGGATTGCATTTCTGCAACTTGTGCACATCTTTAGAACATTTTTTTCTTCCAGTTAAGTTTCCATTAAATGTTTGGAAATTGCACCAAGTGAAGAGTCAACATCTTTAGCATTAACCGTCTGTGGCTTAAAGGAATAGTACACCCAAAACATGATTAGCCTTCATTTTCTACTCACCCCCATGCTGAACAACACTCTGGAGTACTTTTTTGATATCT